AACATACTCTAAGTTGTTGCTATGTCCCCAAGACCTAGGAGCAAAAAATTTACAATTGTGAGAAGATTATTTTACCCTCACTAATTGAAAGAGAAAAAGAGACCGGAATGAGATTCAATTGGCATGTTTTTTGCTGCTACATGGGAAGGGAAGATTGACAAAGAAGGAAAGGAGTTGTACAATTATTTCCATCATCTTCATTATTCCAGGCAAGTTATCCCCTTACTTCATCTTATTTGTAGGCTTTATTATTGACAACATTTATCATCTTTTTTCTCACAAACCTTGAAAATGTAATATTGATTTCATGGTTTGAACTTTGAAGGCTGATGGAGTGTAGGTATATGGGTATTTAGGATATGGTTCAAATCACTTAAACTATCAAGGGTGATCCATTTTAATCATACATGATTTTATTCATCATGGGTGTAATTTCGTTAATGTGGTTAGAGTTATAAAATGATGTAATTTCACAATTAGAATCTATTACTCTTAGGTCCCTTAGGTCCTGTTATCCATTTTGGGATTTCAAGAGACCTTGAATTAATAAAGTCTGTTATGTGGGACCTGTGTGTAATTTTCCTATAATATTTTTAGGAGAATTACAATAGATTAAAAAATAATTATAAAATGAGTCTTAAAAATGTTTATTTTTATTTTGAAATTTGTCATTATATATTGTTTAGGTTGTTATTGGGACCTTTTTAGTAATTATCTTTTTTACTGGAATCCTATTGTAATTCTCCTAATATTTTTTCGCCCATGGGGAGTAAACGTTATGTCAATATAAAATACAAAAATAAATTAACATATATTGATGGAAAAATAATGTAGTATTATTTTTCCCCAAACGTTGTTGTTTTTCTTATTTTTATGGTTGGAAAAATAATATTATGTTTAATTATTATTTCATTTACTGCATGATAAATATAACTAAATAATTGTCCTCTACATATAATAAATTCCTAATATTAATGGCCCAAAAAAAATCCTAATATAGCGGAGGCTCCTCGTCGTTTTTTTTAATAAATTTTTTCAATTTCAGGACGCATTTCATGCTCCGCATGTTTAATAAGTTTAAATTTGAGAGAAAATATCCCGGCCAAAAAAAATTGAGAAAAAATAGATAATTTTTTAAAAAATAAATTAATATATCTCGTGTTCTCGTATCATTTCAAGAGTAAAAACTAATCTAGCGTGACAAGTATGCGTTAAACTAGTTAGAATAAGCTCTTTTTTTTTTGTTTCCCTAAATAAAGAGAGAAAAAGGGAAATGAAATTGATGGACAATACAATTACAAATATAGTTGGAGAATAAAATTATAAATATATTCCTATTGTCCCTAAGAAGTCTTTTAGAAAATTTTTTATCCATTTTATAATATGTTTAGATAGTTTCAACAAATGTTTTTTCATTTATGCCCATATTTAATAAGGATAATGAGAAAGAGTAGAAATTAATATGATATTAGAATTTAGGGTGGTTAATAATGGTAATATTGGGAATCACTTAAATTTCATAACAAATTTAATCTTTTTCAATATTTTTTATTGATACACATGAATTAGTTAGAAAAGTTTTATATTATAAACCAAAAGGAGCATTTTTTTTTTACCTGAAACTTAAGGAATTATATTTTAAAAAAATAAATAGAGTTAAAATACAAATTTATCTCGAAAATTTTCAGTTAAGAGTATTGTGCACTTCAAAGTTTTTTGAAATTAATATAGCAATTTTATCATTGAAAATACTAATAGTCAATATTATTATTTTAATAGCCAGCATTACTCTTTTAACTGTAAGAGACAAAATTGTTACTACTTCTGGTCCTCAATATAAGTCTTATTTGACTTTTGTTTTGGTTCTAAATCTAAAATTTTAATCAACTTTGTCTCTCATATTTTTCTTTTCAAGATAGTTTATTTAATAGTGATGGTTCTAACCAACAAACCTGATTAGTAAAGATATTTTAGAAAAAAAAACAATAACTATTTATTGCAAATAACTAACTTAACTTATTTCATTAATATATTCAAATTAGTCAACTAGTTTTTATTTTTATATTTAGAAGCAAAGGTAATATAATTTTAAGCTTTCTAGTAATATTAAACACAAACTTTCAGGAGAAATATACAACCCTTACCCCTAAGATTTTTAATTATGACTTCCACCCTTCACTTGCTAAACTTGAAAAAATAGCGTGGTAAAGAGTTCCCTTTTCGGCCTCCCGCCCAAGGCAGTAGAGGAACCCATGACTTACTATTCTCTTCTTCATTACGATTTTATTTCATTCATTTATCATTTATCTTTATATTACGTTTTCTCCTGAATTTTTAGACAAGGATTTTGTTTATGGATAACATTTAAACATGCCTCTGGCAGTGTTGGATATGGAGAGATTAGAATTCAGAGGAGAAGTCATAAATGTTAATAAGAAGTTATTGTGTTATTAATAAATTATACTTCTCTAATTCTTTTTATAGACTCTAATTAATTAGTTCACATAAAATCTCAAAATTAATTTTAACAAAAGTCATGCTGAAAGAAGTTTGGTTAATTAATTAAATAAATTTATAGTTAGTTGGGAGTGCTACGTTAAGAAATACTAATACTCTAAATAAAATATTTTGTAGTATGAAATATACAAGAAGTCCTGATAATAAGAACCAAATGGAGTAAATAATCACTCGGGTATTAAATGTAAGAAATAAATAGTTAAATTAATTATCTGTAATAAATATATACTGGTTTTCTTAACATATCCTTTTTGTTATTACCCTCATTAATGAAATCTTCCTTTCATATTACCTCCGGTTTTATATATAAGTTTCAAATAATTGAATTACATTTAACTAACTAGCAATTAAAGTTGGTTAAAAATAATAAATAGGTTAGAAATATATCTTTTTTCTCAAATTTGCTCTTATTTATTAAGAGAGTAAATGAGATTCAATAAATAAAAAAATGATAAAAGAGAACACATGGGAATAATATTAATGTGTGTGTGAGAGTACTAAATACAGTCAAATAATGACAAAATAAAAAGAAAAGTAATAAATGCTTAGACAAACCAAAAAATAAAGCTTACATTTTGGACCAGATCCATATCTAAAAGTGAAGTTTATATATAGGACCGAAGGAAGTGTATACAATCAATAGGGAAGACTTAAAAAAATTATAAATTTAATAGGCAAAATGAATTATAATTTTATACTTAAGATTAGAATAAACCCTTCAATTAGCTTTTTATTTTGGAGAGGAGGGAAAATAGTTTATTTCCTAACTTTAATCATTCTAATGAAAGGATGACCCATTTGTAGTCCTGCGTCAAGTTTGGCCAGATATGTTCAATCCATCCAACTTCTTAAAATTGACTTTTTCTCCTCATAAAAAATTATACTAGTAACTTCTAAATTCTAAATGTTATTAAACTGTGAAGGAATATTAGAAAAAGAACAAAATTACATACGGCCTTATCAGAAAAATATCAGAAAAATACAAAGAAGGTTGAAAAGTAAACTTATTAGACGGATATGAGATTGAATCAAACTTTTCAAGATTTATGAACAGCTTGCTTTCCTAAGAAATTTGTACATTACATTATATTTATATATTGAATATTAATTATTAGTTTTATCAATCAATTGAAGATGTCCTAAGTAGAATCATTTTGTACACCATTCAACTAACCTACTTATTATGCTGCCTCTGGATGTCAAACCCAATCATGAAAGATCCTGTTTTCTCCTCCTCTGATCTTTTCACCTGAATGCATTTCTGAGGACTGCAATTTTGGCATTGCAACCATGAATCTGACCTTGATCCACAAGGAGCATACCAGGAGATTGATCAACTAGCTTGATGAGTTCTAAGTCTTTATTCTTTTTTTTTTGGCCAGAGACTTCTAAGTTGAATATACAATTATTGGAGATAAGTTTTCACATGGGATTCATCTACACTTTCACTTTCATGAGTTTTCTTTCCTCTTGCTTGCATCTCAAACAATTCAATTCTACATAGATAAACAAGATAAATCATTACATAATGAATGATGATTAATTATTTACGTAAATGTAACTTTCTATTGGAAGTGTGTTCGAAACATTATCAGATATTGAATGTGAGCACTTCTTTCTAAAGGGATTCAGACCTTGATTGATTAAGTTATAAGAAATTAGTTCCTTTTATAATATCCAATTTAGTGTGTTTTTACAATGCAGAATTGATTTTAGGTTGAAAATTATTATTAAAATCACGATTTACTTTTTTAAAAAACCACGACTTCAATTATTGTCAATCAAGAAAAAATTAATTATCTTACCACTCTCAAAGAGTCAACATAATTCTGGCTGCAAGCATGGAAGAAAGTAAGAAACAGGGTTGTGTGTTGCACCATAAAATTCGTTGCCATTCAAACCAAAATCCATAAACATCCAATCTTTTTCATTAGTTTTGGGATGTTATCTATTTATAAAATGATATTCAATTTTAAAGATTGACTAAAAAAGAAGAAGAAATTCATCTAAAATTAAACTATATATGATTTAAATTAAATAAATTCTATTGCTCACTTCTGAATCCCTCTCTCCATCTCTTCCCCTTTACCTACCACTCATCAATAGCATCTATGAAGGGGAATTGATTGGAGAGCACATGCTGACAAATCCAGAAGCACCTATGAACAACACAGCATCTTTCTCTATCCTCTTTTTATCATCATCATCCTGGTGAGCCCCCCAATTCATAATTTCTCTTTTCCTTTCCCAGAAAATTTATTCTATTTTCTTAAAGTCTTTTTGGGTTTTAAAAAAATTTATGAAATTGAAAAATCAATCAGAGCCTCAAAGCTGTGCTTGTTGTCTCTCATAAAACTGGGCCTCCTCTGTTTCTGAAGGGATCCGAGGCTCCTCTTTCTTTCTCTCTTCTCTGAGTCTTTTTGATCTTTTCCTTTTCCAGGGACCCACTATGAGATAAAGAAATCAATTTTTTTGTGCTTTTAATAATATTTTCCGTTTTATATACGTTAGCTTCTTAATTTCGTGATAAGCCTGGGTTCAATTTTCTTTGGTTCCCCTGTCTTCCTCTGTTCTCTTTCCTGGTTTCTGCTTTATTTTCTCGGAAAACGACAATTTTCCGAGAAAATAAAAAAAAAAAAAAGAGAAAAATGTTGACTCCTCACTAGTTATCTCTGCGGTATTTGCTATTAACTCATCCGAACCTTCCATTTCTTGCCTTCTCCTCTGCCAAATTTGCAACTTTCCCGAGGAATTCTCCATGTGAACGCCAAGCCGAGCAAGATTTCTCTCCGGGACCAGCTGAATTCTTAGGAATTCTTCACTTTACAAGTTCGGTTTCTCGCCGTGATTTTCTCGGCAACTGCAGATTCCGATCAATTTCTTGGGAAACTGAGAATGGAAGGTCGCCGGAGAATGACTCTTTATGATCAAATGTCTGCCGTTGACGGCCGCCGAGACTCGCTTGCGGGCTCGACCCTCGAAGCCGTGATGGCAAGCCACAAGATAGCCTCCGAGTCGAGCCGCCGCCAGTTCAGCGGCAGCCGAACCCTCTCAGACATCATTCGAGGAGACAATTCCAACACGAAGGACAAGAAATCTTGGAAAATCTTCAAAGATAAGCTCTGGCTCAAGCGCGCTGGATCTGCTTGGTTCTCCACAATCAACATCCCGGCCTTGGATATCTCTATCCCTAACCGGAATAACAACAACTCCGACGCCCCGTCAACAAGTAACCCACCCGACTTCTCAGGTCCGATCTTAGCCAGAGCTCGGTCTTCCCTCAACGACGTCTTCTCCAGCGAGTTGAGGCCCCAAACTTCGCGCTCCAATTCCTTCCGTCGAGACGGCGCGGTAACTTTCCGGGACTGCCTGGACAGCGACGGCGACGGATCCGAGTGCGACGACTGGGATCCCGCGCGTGAAGGCACGCGCCGCCTATCAACAATTCTATCAGAGGAGAGAGCGTTGTCTGAGAGAGAAGCTGAGACAGCCGCCGCGGCATCTTCGGCGGCGGTGGCGGCACAGGGGGTAGACGAGCCGGTGAGGATGTCGCTGACGCTGATGGATTTACTGGAGGAGACAGATAGGCAAATGGGGTTTGATGCATCGCGATACAGAACAGGATACGAAGATGACGACGAAGAAGTATATCAGAGGATAAAAATGGTGGAAAAGGAAGAAGAAGAAGAGGAAGAAGACAGCAAACGATGGAGCATACAGGAAAATTGTTGTGTGTGTATGGTGAGGCATAAAGGAGCAGCGTTTATACCATGTGGACACACATTTTGCAGGCAGTGTTCGAGGGAGCTTTGGGTGAGCAGAGGCCACTGTCCACTCTGCAACAATGTTATTCTGGAGATTCTTGACTTGTTCTGATTCATTCATCTTTCATCTCCGTTTTTGAGCTATCTGAATGTTCCTCATTCTATATATTTCTTTTCCGTTTCTGTTTCTATTTTTACGTTCCCCTCCCTTGTAAAGTGGAGTTTGAGGTATGAATTAAAAAAGAAAAAGTGTGGATGATGATGAAATGGGGATGAACAGAGGTGTAATTTTTCTAAAGGTATATGCAGATACCCTTTCCATTCCATGCACATGGCATATTTCAGAAAACACTCTTACTCTTTTTACAAGGTTAATTTTAAAGAATATTGCCTTTATACTTAAATATAATATCTAGTTTATAGTATAATTTATACGGAAAAGTAGTTGTTATATTTTTGGATTGGAGGTAGTATTAAATACTATCTTAGCTGCTAAGAGTTTGTGGAGAAGTTTTTCCTCTCTTGTTTACTTTGTCGTTTAAATTTATAATTCTTTTTCCAAGCTATCCTTGAACAAATCATGAGTTATTAACTAAGAGTAGTTTCCGATACAAATAATTATTGGGTTATATTTTAAGGAATTAATATATATTTTTTTATAAATAATTAATTTAATTAATTTTTTTAATCTTTATAAATCAGTTAATTAGCTTTTATACATGTTGATTTTTTTTAGGGTTCATACAATATTTGTCTCTCAAATTCGTATAAATTTTGATTTTAATTCATCAAGTTTCAAATTACAGGTTTCGGTTTCTCAAAAAACAAAATGGTTCAGATTTTTATTAAAATTACACAAACCAATATTTTAAATAAAAAGAAATTTAAGGGATCAAAATTTATGGTTTGAAATTTTAGAGATCAAAAACTAAAATGAGATAAACTTAAACCAAAAATTGTATTAACTTATATATATATATATATATATATATAAGGGATGAGAAAGTAAAAATTACATTAACAAAATTTAAGATTTTTTTTTAATTTTAGTGAAACGAGAATTATAAATAAGATTAGGATAATACTTGATTCAAGAGTAAGGAATACAAGTGTTGCAATTTGTTGATAAGATTGTGGTCAGATCATGTATTGGCCAGAAAGTATAATAAAACAAGATCAAGTTCACTGGCAGTGGCACTTGCTTGCTTTACACATATAGAAAATTTGACTTAGCGTCTGTGTTTTTTCTTTGGGAAAGCGATTTACGTTGCAATGGTGGCCAAAAGAAAGCACATTTTCCCCACCCACTCATTCTCTTTAGGTGAAGAGAATCTTTTGCAACAGGGAAAAATTAACGATTTCAATTTAAAAGCAAACTTTATCCATTCACATGAGTTGGTTGAACTATTTTAAACGGTGAGAATTGTGAACAAGGGGAAAAAAGTATACTCCTCTAATCCTTAATATAAGACCCATTTAACTAATTTGATTAAATTAAGAAAGTTAGATAAGTTAATTAACTATAAGAAATGTGACACGTTTTTCCTAAATTACCGTAATCATCTTTCTCATTACTCCTTTTTCCTCTTCTATCTGATTATGGTTGAGGGAATATCCATAAAGGTAATTTAGAAAAAATTGATAAATAGGAGAAATGGGTCTTATATTTATGACTAAAACTAACTCAACAATTGTGTCATATATTAAGGACCGGAGGAGTAGCTTCCTTTTCATTAGACAGAACAATGGCCAGTAGAAAAATTTAAACATTAGATTCACTCTCAATTTCATTTTTAAAATAAGTTAAGCACTATAGAACAAAATTGCTGAAAAGCCTCCATTGCAAAAAATTTATTGTGCAGGGGCATATGAAATTTGTTTAAAAACCTAATTGCAACCTATTTTTTGTGAATGCAACTTTTTTTTTTTCAGTTGTGTGTAACTTATTTGCAAAATGAAAATTATTTGCCTGTAGTTAAAATAAAAAGATCGCTTTAAAACTTAGCTCCTTGAGTAGTGTTGAGCAATAATATTGCAATTTGGACATTTTAATGTTGCCATGGGGAGTTGGAGTCATAACCTTAGCTTTGAATGTTTGATGTTTCAGAACATAAAACAATGTATAAAATTTTAGAAATAATTCTCGTGTTTTTAAGATGTTCTAATCAATTAATTAAAAGAGTTGGTCCAACTTAGAATGGAGTCAAGAAAATGATAAGTATTGATTGAGGGTAAAAATGGCAATATAAAAGAAAAATTAAGATATAAGTTAGAATTATTTTATTGTTCTTTTTTTTTTTTAAAAAAATAGGAATCCTTCCCGCATGGGAGAAAACTCACCCACACTACACACTTGCCCTGTGGTCCTGGCTAAAAGGGGGATAAAAAGGGAATAGAGAGATTCCCCAAAGAAAAAAAGGGGAATAGAGAGCATATACTACTGGGCCAGAGTCTTAAAAACCTGATCGTATGAATATTGGGTCTTCCTACTACAGTCGAATGTGGGGCCACCCTTAGTTTTTCTTCCTTCCCATTCTAATAATTTAATTCACTTAAGATAAAACTCTTTTCACATATTTATTTTAAAATCACTTTTAAAAAAACTAATCCAAATACTCCTGAATTGTTTCTTTCTTTTATTCTTCTTCTTTTCCACGGCCCATGCAGTACCAAGTTCCAAAATTATTGTCATCTTATCGTTTACTCATCTCCAACGCAGGTTAATATTTCAGTCTAAGCCATAACAACAAAAAATATGAAAGAATGAAGTCAAGAAAATGGTAAGTATTGATTGAGGGTAAAAATGACAATATGAAAGAAAAATTAAGATATAAATTAGAACTATTTTATTGTTCTTTTTTTTTTTTTAAAGGGAGAAAACTCACCCACACCACAGTACCACACACTTGCCCTGTGGTCCTGGCTAAAAGTGGAATAAAAAGGGAATAGAGAGATTCACCAAAAAGAAAAAAAAGGGAAAGAGAGCATATACTATTGGGCCAGAGTTTTAAAAACTTCATCGGATGAATATTGGGCCTTTCACTACAGATGAATGTGGGGCCACCCTTAGTTTTTCTTGTTCCCAAATTCCAATCATTTAATTCACACAAACTAAAAAACTCCTCATATACTTATTTTCGACTTCGGGAGTGTTTGGGAAACCCAAAACCATGGTTTCAGAAGCACTTTCCCGCAAAACGAGATAATCTCCTCCACATATTTACTTCGTAATCCTTAAAAGCACTTCTGAAACCATGGTTTGGTTTCTATCCAAACACCCCCTTCATAAAATTACTTTTAAAAAATTGTTTCTTTCTTTTATTCTTTTTCTTTTGCATGGCCAATGCAGTACCAAGTTCCAGAATTATCGTCTTGTCATAATATTTCTTACTCATTTCCAAGGCAAGTTAATATTTCCGTCTAAGCCATAACAACGAACTTAATGAACTATTCTCTTGCAGTTGCTACTGTATAATATGAATCTGTTGGCAGATGACGAAAAGCTAAAAGCTAAAAGCACTAGCAATACAAGGTCAGTGAGGCAAACTTTTCCAACTAACAAAAAATATACCAATAGTCTTAAAAAGAATGAGTTAAACCCATGAACAGCAGCAAGTAGATAGCTTTCACAGTTGATTTAAACATCTAATTTTGAGTTGCACAATTGTCCCTAAGAGTATTTGTCAAGTTAGAGCCGGTAAATACACCAAGTCGACATGAATGAGACGAAAAATACACCAACTCAACCTGAGTCATATTTTGGCTGGTCATAAAACAAAAACCTTAGTCCGAAACCATACTAAGAATGAAATATACATTAATGTATTGTCTATTTTCTGCATTCTCCTTCTTTGACTGAATAATTCTGAAAGCCATGAAATGAAAAAGGAGGAAAAGGGAAATGCAGCACAGGAAAAACCCATTAAAAAAAAAAAAAGTACGATACAAGACAAAAACTAAGATTGATACAAATATCTATGTGATTCAATTACAAAAAGCAAGCTTCAGCTTGGTAAAATTGCCATTCTAAGACATGGAATTATCTGGAGCTAAGAAACATCATCATCTCATTACAGATTTAGGTCAAATCATGGACTGTGAATAAGACAAGCAACACTACTAAGGTGTCAATAACAGGAAAAAGAAAACTTTGCACTGTTGCAGTATTAACTTCTATAATCTGCCGGATATATATTACAGTAGATCAACTCAACCCCATCTATTAGGGGTTGAGACAAAAAGTTAGTACTTAATAACTTACAATTTAGCCTTTAGTTCTCATGATTGTAATGCTGCCTTTTCCTCCTTCTGTGCGAATCTTCGTCTTCCCAACTACAGGCTTCCCTGAAAAGGCTGATTTAGGGTAAGCAGATGGATCTTCTTCACTGCTTTTTTTGGGTTTTGAAGGAGGTGGAGTTTGAATCCGCTGGTTTATCTCTTTCAGCGTTACATCTCCATGAGCACCACTGGGTTTGATGAAGGCAAATGGATAGGCCACTGAAGAAGCCAATTTTGTGGGTGCTCGTATGAAAGATTTCCTCCCTACACACATAAAACCAGTCTGAAGTGGTTAGATTTTCATCTCAAAAAATTATATGCTGCTGTTTGCTACAACTTATTGCTTAAGGGATGTTGTTATATTCTTTTACATATCAATATCATATAGCATACAAGGAGATTTACTCAAGTTACATGTCACTAGAGGATAATTCAAATAGAACCTAAGAGGATAGCTTGCAAAGAAAGACCACATATAGAACGAAGTTAAACCTTTAAAGATTATATTTTTGGGTGTTCGGGTGACACGCTTCTGAGCCACATTTTGTTCATAAGCTGGTGAGACATCACAGGGCTCTGCAAGACAAAACTAATAGTATGAATAACATGAAGGAGAAAATTTTGGGAGAATTTTTAGGATTTGCTATCAGGTTCTCTAGCAAAAATATGACAAATGAATATTTTATATAGCTCGGCAATACATGATTAGGTCTTTTGGAAAAGTTTGGCCACGTGTTATATTTTACAGGAGAACTGGATAATAAACACCTAAAGAACTGTGGGTAGGTCTTTTCCTAGCATAAAAACATACATGAAAAAGGAAAAGGAAGAAAAAGACAAAATCAAAGAATAATGTCGGATGGCAAGCAATATGTCCTGTACCTGAGACATTAATCTGAACATTGTCTTGCCCCGAAAAGTTCCTACGTCAGATAATGTAATTGTCAGATCATTTTCTAAAACTGAGTATATGCCAAAAATCAGATTTGAAGAGACATACATGATATCATCAGGACTAAAATCCATTTCAGCATCATTAAAGCATTGTGCAAGCCATCCTTCGGCTGACTGCTCAAGATCCTCACAACTGGAGCCAGATGCATTTCCTAATACATATTCCATCAAAATTGGAGAAAGATCCAAAATAAACATCCAACTATGCAATCAAAGAAGAATCTAGCAATAGGCAAACCTGATGTCTCAGATAACAATTGTGAAACTTCGAAAAGAACATCTTTCATTGAGTCTTCCTTCCCCTATGTACAAAATTGAATAACATAATCTTTTTTAGGATCTGACTTACTGAAAGTCATGAACGCTTGAAAGCATTTATGCAAAATACAATAAATGAATTATGTGGAAGACTATATCCCCATATGCACAAAAAGCACTAATGCAATGCAAATCCCTCAACAAGAAGTTTGGGTCCTGCAATGATTAAGAGGCAGAATTGTACACCAAGCCATCGCATCATAACAAAAATATTAAGAAGAAAATATGTGAATAAGGTCCACTTAGCAGAATCAGTTGAATAATAACACAAACAAAAAATTAATTTTTCTTCAAACAAGATGACTATGAGAAATATGGCTCTAACAACGAGAAAGAGAAACCAAAGACAAAGAGAAGAAACCGAGACAAATTACACTAAGTCCTTGCACCATTCATTATTTTCCCAATCAACAAGCCAAAGGTAGTATCAAAATGGGGAGGTATTTAACCACAATGACTTCTGAATATTGTTAGAAGTTAGAAGCACCTAGCATGAGAGTCAGATAAAGGAAAAAACTACTAGAACTCACATTTAATTTAAGGTATTCTGAGGACATGTCTTCGTAGGACAAGGAAACGTCCCCATCTTCACTGCTGAATTGTAGCATCCGACGCCTCTTTACTTGAGAAGAGGTCTCTCTACATTCATCTAGTTCATTCCGTAAATTATCTGAAATTCATTTCTATTTAAGTTAAACGGGATGATAATAATAGAAAGGAAAAGGAACACTATGACAAGTTGTGCATATTAATAGGACAATAGAAAAGGCTGCCTTACAGAGAACTGCCTTACCACTATTATTGACATGGTAAGCCAAATCTCCACAAGCCTTAACTGGGGTTGTTTCATCATCAAGCATGTAGGAAAGATCCTCTTCATTTTGAGGTACTTCATTCCACAGCTCCTGAGACATGCCTGTTCAAACCAAAAAATATTATCTCAAGCATCAGTTATCCGAAAAAATTAAATTTGAGTCAAAGTAGAACTTACTCATATTGGAAGCCTTTTCGAGAATATGATCCTCCTTATGCCAATCCCATGGTTCCCTAGCAACATTAAGAAATAGTAGACATGTAAATGCTGTGGAGGCGGTTCAACATTGACTGAGATAAAGCCAGCCGGAAATATTGCAGGGAGAAAATACACAATAAATTTGTACCATCACCGACATAGAAGAAATCATTAGGTATAAGACGGGCTCAGCCCCCAAACAGAAGCTGTAAACATACTACGTTATATATAAAGTATGTAGCATTAATATTAACCGCATGGTCCCCTGCAGCAGTAATTACAGCCAAGTAACCAAACAATGAGATCCTACGCAGAGAAAAGCAGTCACACTTGTGCATTTAAACGGTTTTACTTTAATTCATAGCTGTAAAATGTAAAGGGGAGAAAGTTTTTTTAAAAATTCAAAAAAAGGGATGCAATTGATGACACACCAATTAGATGAAAACCCCCATCTCCATCTTTTCCTTAATCCTTATCCTTAAAATCTCACACAAATTGAACGATCTCCAGGGTTCTGTGAACAACCGGAAATAAAAAAGGACAGCGTGGAGAGCAAAAGAAACAGCACGGAAGGGATCCCGGATATACGTGAAACCCCAAATAGAATGTACACAGAAATGAAGATAAAGCAGATTGAACAAGTCACAACATCTTCAAAGCTAAAACTCGAAGTGCATTTCCCAAAGTTTGACTTCCTAAACCAAACTAACCCATCCCCCAAACCGATCAAACACAGAAACACCTACAGAGAAAAGAGAGATTTACTTGTCATTGTCGTAATCCATATCAAAAGAAGCAACAGAGCTCTTCTCAATGATCACAGTCCCTTCTCTCTCCCCCCCCTACTGGCCACTGTCGAAACTAGCCGTTACAGAAAGATCGATCACGCTCGCTCGCTCTAAATAGCAGCTTCCATTAGAAACTGGGTTGCTTGAGATGTGTGCTGCTGCAAATGTGAAAACTGAAAAGAACCCAGCCAAAGCACAAAGCGCCGATTCTCTTTCTCTCTCTTTCTTCTATGAACAATATCAGAGCTTTTTGCTAATTTCCCGGTTTTATATTTTCAAGTTTAAAGCTTTTTATTAAAAGAAGAAACAAAAATCCAAGCGAGGAAGGTGGAGGTAGACCATAAGGTCCGTTTCCACGACCACATGACCAGAGCACGCTTTTACTCACTGGGACCCGTTCCAGTCCGTTACTCTTTTCTGCTCTCTCTCTCTCTCTCTCTCTCTCTCTCTCTCTCTCATAAATAGCGGGCGTGCGACTGTGCGAGAGCGTGGGTTTTTTTTTTTTGACCGGGTGCGAGAGCGTAGGTTGGAAATTAGCTTCTTTTTTTTTTTTTTGCCAACAAATTGGAATATCATTTTAGGTTGTTTGTTTTTAATAAATAAATGCTCTATGACAATTGACAAGTTTTAAATTGCAGAAATTACTAATCTAAGTATACGTTGTTTCTTGTGTCTTATAGGAATATAAAAGGTAAAAATGCGTTATTTATTATTTATAAATAGCATGCCTTCATAAATAAATATTAAGAATTTTCATTATAATGAAAAATATTTATAAAATTTATAAGGATTTACAATTTACAATTATGATTAGAATTAATTAATACTATAAAGTGAGAAAAATTTGCACAGCCCCTGGACAAGATCTAAAGTTCATTAAGACGACAGCTATCCATGGTATAGAAATATTCAAAACCTTTTTGAAATCCACATATAACGTAACAAAAAAATATTGTGTATTTAAAAATATCACTTCCAATATAATGAATTTATTGATTAATTATTTGATTTTATTTTGATATCAAATTGATAAATATAATAAATACTACCTCCGGTCCTAATTATAAGACCCAGTTGACTTATTTGAGGAGATTAAGGAAGTAAGTTAAGTTAGTTATTTGTAATAAATAAGTGTTGTCATTCCTAAAATATCCTTGCTAATTAAGTGTATTGGCTAGAACTATCATTATTAGAAGGATTATCTTGGAAAAAATACATAAATATGAGAGAAAAAATGGATTGGGGTCTTATAATTAGGACCAAACAAAAAGTCAAATGGGGTTTTATATTAAGGACCGGAGGTAGTATATTGCAGTATGTTAAGAATAATAAAGTTGTAAGAAAATAAAGAGAGATAATAATATCCAGGTCAAAACAAGAGATAGATAATAATATGAGATATTATAGAATAATGAAAATATTGAAAGATATGATGAAATAATCAATATTCACATGATATTATAATATTTATAACATAGTAAATTATTTTAGTGTTATAAATAAAGAAGAAACAGAAGAGAATAATAGAGAAGAAGAGAGGATCAACAAGAGAGAGTATTTTTTATTCTATTTCAGGATACTCAATACATTATGAGAAATACTTTTTCTTATTAATCCTCTTTTCTTCTCTATTATTTTTCTCTATTTCTTCTTTATTTATAACATTTAGCTATATAAACTCAATGTGTATTATAGATAGTATTCTTATTGACTAAGAAAATGTCAACATAACCTCAGTTACTTTTCTTTTTGCCCCAAAAATCTTAACACTATTTAACCTCTACTTCTTTTATGTGGACCAAATCAAAAGTACACTGAGCATGCACATTCAATTGGTAACATAAGGACTTTTCAGAGGATGAAGGTTGATTAAAAAATATCTCATAAGTTTAAGGTTAATTTGATAAACTTTTCAGCTGAGCATTCTACAATATATACCATAAAGTGATATCGTCGTCGTCATTATCATTATTATATATTTGATGCTTGTGTAACATTTGATGGGGTAGAAATCAATTCTTTTGAAAAAGAAATTTTTATTTTAAAATATATTAAAATTTGTTCATATTTATTAATGATTATATCATGTTAATATGTTGATTACACTTAATTCTTGAAAAATACGCCCCTTTATTATTTAACTAGTTTATAACGTATTTAGAATTGAAGGTAGTATTTGTTTGTATAAGAAGCATAGTACCATGAATAAGTTGAGCTCCCCCCCCCCCCCCCGGGGAAAATTAACCCAATCAACTGAAGTCATATTGGTAACAAGTCAAATCACACTAAATTAGTTTGCTAAAAAAGATCACATGAAATAAAAGCAAGCACAAATATAGGACAGGGGGCCAATATTGAGGTGACAAAAAAGTTCACAAGAGTCAAAGTTTGTTAGGAATAATTTGGTTTAGAGTTGTAGAATTATGGTGGTGGGTGATAAAAGGGTTATGAACTTGTGATTCAAGCGACCATTAAAATGTGTTATGACTCAACCAACTAAAGGTTTATATTTATATACTCCTCCGGTCTTAATTATAAGACCCAATTGATTTATTTGAGGAGATTAAGGAAGTAAGTTAAGTTGGTTATTTATAATAAATAAGTGTTGTCATTCCTAAAATATCCTTGCTAATTAAGTATATTGGCTAAAACTATCATTATTAGAAGGATTATCTTGGAAAAAAATGTATAAATATAAGAGACAAAATGGATTGGGGTCTTATAATTAGGACCAAATAAAAAGTCAAATGGGGTCTTATAATAAGGACCGGAGGAGTATTATAGTCTATGTACTTCTATGAGTGTTTGAGAATTCTTAGAAATGCTTCTAAAAAGTATTTTTCTGTAAAATAAGGTAAACTCCTTCATATATATTTACTTCGTAAATTATAAAAGTACTTTTAAAACTATGATTTGGTTTCCATCCAAACACCCTCTTATATGAGGTTTTTTATTTTGGGCGACTGAATAGTACTCTGTAGTAATTCTCAAAAGCCAGTACAAGCACTAATCTTTAACAAAAACAAAAACAACACCAACAAAAGACAATGAACACAAATAGAAAGCCTCAAAGAAAATAAAAACAGAGAGAGAAAGAAAACAGCAGCAAGCTAACTAAAACAACAACTGCAAATTAAACAATACCAGATCACAGGTATTAAACTTGTCATGGCAGTTCAAAGCCCCCATCACAGCAATACTCTCAGCCATGAAAGCAGAACCAGCTTCAACCTCATTCCCCAAACCACCAATAAATAACAAACCTTCCCAAATCATCTCTTGCTATTAATCCCACGGAGGCTTTTCTCTGTTCCGTACACTTCATCTTAAGAAAATAGTCAATAGAAATCTTAGTAGCTTCTCCATAAACAACGAGTAAATAATATTTCCACAAGCATCTCACAATTATGACCCACATGCGGTAAAGTGGATATTGTATTTGTAGTTATTTGAGCGATATTAGGAAACCAATTTAAACATGTCTTGATCTAATTTACCTAAATTTTTCTTATATGAAAAGAGAATTGGATTATTTGCCTTAGATTTTTAAATATTCTGGCATCTTTGCAATAGTGATCTTAGAAAGTCTTAGGGTCAATTAAAATAAAAAAGTTAGTTAAATAAATGAAATTACATTCAGAATTATTTTAGGAAAAAATTGAGAATAAATTCCATTTGAAAAGTTAATTGTAGAACGGGATCTGAACTTCTAAGGTTTTTTACAGAATTAAAAAAGAAAGGAAAATTACCACAATATTCTTAATAAAATGTAATTAGGATCAAGCAAATACAACTAAAGATCAAGAATATGCAATTAGGATTAAACAAATACAACTAGAGATAAAGAATATGCAATTAGGATTAGTAATATACAATTATGTCCTATATACAATATGTAATTAGGATAAAACATATGCAACTACAGGTCAAGGATATGTAATTATGATCACTGATATATAATTAGGTCCTATATGAAACTAAGCATTCTCAATATGCAATTAGGATCAAGTATGTACAATTCGGAATCAATGATATGCAATTAGGATCAGTAATATATAATTAGGTCCTATATGGTCCTATATGCAACTAGATATATGTAATATGTAATTAGCATCAAGTATATGCAACTTGGAATCAATGTTATGCAATTACGATAAGTAATATGCAATTAAGTTCTATATGCAACTAGACATTTTCAATATGTAATTAAAATCAAGCATATGTAAATCAAAATCATGGATATGCAATTAGCATTAATGATATGCAATTAGGTCCTATATACAACTAAGCATAAGCAACATACAATTAGGATTAAGCATATGTAATTAGGGTTCAAGGATATGCAACTAGGACGAGTGACATGTAATTAGGTTCTATAGTCACCCAATCTGGTGGGGTGCGCTACCAGAGGTGGGGGCTGCCGATGGAAGGAGTAGTAAAAATTAATGTGGACGGCGCTGCGTCAACGGTAAGTGGAATGTCCACTTGTGGAGGACTGATGGGGGATTGGAAGGGAGTATTTATGGGAGGCTTTATGTTTAATATCGGGCCGGGCAACGCCTCTCGAGCAGAAGCTTGGGGAGTGTTGACGGGCATGAAATACACTTGGGACAGTGGTCACCGGCACGTTATAGTCGAATCAGATTGTCAAGACCTGCTAGATGCTATCATGTTGGGCACAGCCGAGGACTGAGACGACGAGGATCTTGTGCATGAAATCGTAGCGATGCAACGTCGGATTGGAATGTACTATTTAGCTGGGTTTATCGTGACATGAATGAAGCTGCTGATATCCTCGCGAAGGAAGCACTTAAATGTGTGCCTGGTTTATTCTGCTTTTCTGATATGCCAAATTGTGTGAGAGAGAAAGTTAGAGGTGAAACTATGTTGAGAAGTCATTGATAGGATGACCTGGTTTATATTTACATCAAAAAAATGTAATTAGGTTCTATATGTAATTAGACATGTGCAATATACAATTAGGATCTCGCATATGTTACTGGGAATCAAGGATATGCAACTCGGGATTAAGAATATACAACTCAGATTATTTAGTCTTTTTACCCCTCAAATTTGTTGTCATGTAATGTCAAGTTTCATTTTACAATTAACTTCTCAAATGAGGACTTATCTTCATTTTTCTCATATTTTAAAGACAACCAAATTTTTATTGATAAATCACTTTAAAGTTAAGGCACTTTTTTATACTTTTGGCTAAAGTATTTGTTTTTAATTTAAATTTAAACACTTTAAAGCTAATTTTTCAATATATCATTTAAATAAATTTTATCAAATTATTTTTTTATAAAAACTTATTCTAATATAAATTACATTACAATTTCAACCTACAAAAATCAAGCAGAATAAAGGTTATCTTAATCTGTATTAGGCAAAAGCTTTACCACAACCTCAGATGTTCAATCCTTCTCTTTTATTCGCCCACTTGGACGTTCAATCCAAGATGAGGTCATTTTGGTTGGATGGTTAACATGTATAGTTTGGCTTGAGTTGATTTGACTTATTGAAGCTTTATTAAATTTTCCCAGAAAATTGGTTTGACAATTAAACCCTTCCAAAATTTTAAATTAACGTGTTTGAAACACACCTATTTGTAAATTTCTCTATATATTTATTTTATATACTGTAAAATTATTTTTAAAATTATGATTTAATTTACACTCAAATACTCCTTAACTTACAAAAGATGTTTTCATCCTTAAATGGAATTGCCAATTAGTTATTCTAATCCTAAATACTATCTCAGGTCCTTAATGTAAGACCTTGTTTGACTTTTATTTTGATCCTAAATGTAAGACCCCAATCTACTTTATCTCTTATATTTATGTAATTTTTTTAAGATAATCTTTCTAATAATTATTGTTTTAACCAACACACTTGATTAGCAAAGATATTTTAGAAAAAAAACAACACCTATTTATTACAAATAACTAACTTAACTTATTTCTTTAATCTCCTTAAATTAGTCAACTAGTTCTTATAATTAGGACCGGAGGTAGTATAAGAGTTAGTTAAAAATTCCATTTAGTTTTAAATATGATATCTTAATATATTTTTATCACCCTATGTTTATTCATTTTATCCTAAAGTAGTTTTTATACTGATTATATATGTTAAATATTTTTATTCTAGTGTACATGATTAGCAATAATATTTTAAAAAAGACAATATTTATTTATTACAAATAATTAACTCAATTAATTTTTTTAATATTGACAAATAACTCAGTTAGCTTAAAAACAGGAGGCAGTAATAATTGGTAACATAGATAACAATGCCAATCTTTAAGAGTATTTTTTCCTTCTTTTTTTTTTGGTTGAACTTTCCGGAAGTGAGTTGAACAATCTTTACCTTAAAAGTAGTTTGGTGGTAAGGGGAAAAATTAGGGGGGGAAAAAACAACGTTTCATCTCATAAATTATGCTTATATCATGTTCTTATCATCTTCTGACTTGACGTATTTTACCTTCTTTTTTTTTGTGTGAGTTTGTGTTTGCTAATTACTATGGCCATATTGCTTTTCTTAAATAAAACTATCATGTACTCCAAAACTTAGTTTTTCTTCGGTGAACTTCTAACATAATAGTTGTGAGCCAGATTTGTAAAATGAAAAAAGATGGACGACTGTATAATTTTCAATTTTAATTGAGTATTTTTTAATTAATTTTTTATTTTAAGATTGACGTTCTAGTTTTCTTTTGTCACACACTATTGGACAAAATAAAAAGTTTCTCGTAATAAAACAAACTTTAAGTACAAATATAAAGACTTCAACTATAAGCAAACAAACTTTCCACGAACGACATCAACATTTTGGTATATTATCAAGGGAAAATTACGCGCAGGTATTAAAAAAGAGATTTTATTCATCTAAAGTCCTACAAAATGTTAAAATTACTCGCAGGTAAGAACCTTAGAGTATTAATTGTAAAATGATATTATTATCCTTTAGATTTCCAATTCATATTTTTTCTGTTATTACAATTAACAACATCAGCAGTGACTATTAACAACCCAATAAGAGGGTGTTGACAATCTAAGCAGTATCTGCTGATAACTTTTTTTTTATAGGATCACATAACCTCCACATAAGAATAAATTATAACCAAATAGCATAATACAGCAACTTTAACACTGAAATGGGAAGCTTTTCGAAACTATCAAGAACTTTAATTAAACCTAACAGGATTATAGCAAGATTTTAATATGGAGATTCATTGACAACCTCAACAGTGAATATTAATAACCCAAGAAGAGCTATTGACAACTTTGACAGTGTTATTAACAACTGACTTTATAGGATAATATAACATCTACATAAAATGAAATTATAACTAAATAGTACAATATAACAACTATATAAGATCAAATTTAACACTATTTAGTTATGATTTAGTTAGTTATATTTGGTTGAGATTATATTATCCTATAAAGTCAGTTGTTAACAGACACTGCCTAGGTTGTTAACAGCTCTCCTTGGGTTATTAATACTCACCGTTGAAGTTGTCAATGGATCTCTGCATTAAAATTTTACTATAATCCTATTGGGTTTAGTTAAAGTTCTTGATGGTTTCAAAAAGCTTTCCACTTCAGTGTTAAAGTTGTTGTACTATACTATTTGGTTATAATTTACTCTTATATGAAAGTTATATGATCCTATAAAAAAAGTTGTCAGCAGATATTGCTTAAGTTGTCAACGTCTTCTCATTGGGTTGTTAATAGTCGTTGCTGAGGTTGTTAATTGCAATGACAGAAAAAATGTGAATTAGGAATCTGAGGTAATTATGTCATTTTACAATTAAAATATAATACTCTAAGGTCCTTTGGGACCTGTTAATAATTTTGACATTTTATGGGATCTTAGATAAATAAAATCTTTTTCTTAAAACCTGTGCATAATTTTCCTCTTATCAACATACTCTCGCCATGTGTGAGCTAAATAATTAATTATTTTTATGATTTTTGTGTGGTCTTTGATTGGATGGGGGACCCTATAATAGACCGGATTTTAACTTTGGACCAAAAAAAAAAAAGGACCGGATTTGAATAAAACGAGAGAAAAAAAATAAAAAACAAAAAACTCAAATCAAATCAGACATGTTCCAAGTCTTTTCTGCTCCGCTGCAACACGAATAGGAGGAGTGCGGAACAGGACCCTGCGTGAAAAAACGAAACTTGCAGAAGGCAGAAGCTCCTTCTTCTTGGAACCGACAGGAGTGTCTCCTCCCAGATCCGATCCAAAATGAATATATTCAGGTTAGCTGGCGACATGACCCATTTGGCCAGCGTCCTCGTCCTGCTCCTCAAGATCCACACCATCAAATCTTGTGCTGGTACGATCTCTCTGCACATTTCTGTTCGAATTTTGCGGGTTAGCTAATTTTGAATTTTTGGTCTCATCTGCTCCTGGGTTTTGAATTATCTTGAATTTCTGATTAGAATCCATAGATTGCTTGGTAAAGTGGATTAAAGAACAATAGATTTCGAGTTATGTTGCTGCGCAGATGTGGATTTGTGATGGGTATGTGTAGAATAATATATCTAGTGGCTGGAATACATGGAAATCTGAGATTGGGATAAAAAGTACTCGAATTTGATTTAGCTCGTATTATAAGATAAAATAGAAAATGAATCAAATTCCTAAGTTCAGCCACAGTTTCAAGTTAGGCATGTGTGTGAAACTCGTAAAGTTGGATAGTAGAAATTGAATGATGACATATTTGAAGCCAATCGAAAAGGTATTAAAAACCCAACCAACCATTAAACTAGTTCAGGCAATAGTTCATGGTTCAATGATTGTGTAGAACTACTGAACTAGTATGAATTATGTATGGCGAGTTGCTACTCCCATAATCTACCTTAAAGTACTGTCATTTTATAAGTAGATGAGAAAAATGTCATTAATGAGGAATGAAGCCTGATGTACACCGTAGAGAATTTGTTGAACAAATGCAATTGAATTGGTCAACTCATTGCAATATGAAAATGCACTTAATAAATGGTTCTCAAAGTTGATTATGGAGTAAGAATTGGCAAGGTCCAAAGATCCATAGTTGTAGTTTGTTAAAAACAGACTCAGATGATTATGTAAGAATTTCCTGTTGACTATAAAAGAATGAGAATGCCTGTCTTATTAGATTTACCTAATTAATTGTCTATTTATCAATTATAGGACAGAAAAATAAAAATCAATACTGCAGCCCTCTTCTTTCTTTTTGTATGTTGGGTGCGTCTTTCTGCTTCTGACATGTGATATATCTTGTTCTTTTGCAGGTATTTCTTTGAAGACTCAAGAGCTTTATGCTATTGTTTTTGCCACTCGCTACTTGGATATCTTTACTGATTTCATATCTTTATATAACACCTAATGAAGTTGATATTCTTGGGAAGCTCATTTTCTATTGTATGGTACATAAGGCACCACAAGGTTGTCCGCAGGTCATATGACAGAGATCATGACACTTTTCGTCATATTTTCCTTATATTGCCCTGCTTGCTGTTAGCCCTACTTATCAATGAGAAATTCACATTTAAGGAGTTTGTTAGCATTTCTGCTATGTGTTTTCTATTGAATCTTTGTCAGTTTTCAAACTACTTGCATTTCCTTCTAACTATTTTTGTGAAGTAATTGTGCATTAAGCTCCCCACTTTTTTCCGTCTGATGACATGTACATTGATCAGGTAATGTGGACATTCTCCTTGTATTTGGAAGCTGTCGCCATACTTCCTCAGTTAGTACTGTTACAGAGAACTAGGAATATTGATAATTTAACAGGACAATACGTATTTCTTCTTGGGTAAGTGTTGATTGCCATTTTCTATTTTAAGATTGTTGATATGTATATGGGTTTGTGCTCTTGCATTTACCTTGTAATTGGAAGCTTTGATGTTCTGAACATGTTGAAGTGACTGATCAATGACTTGCTCAACTAAATCAACCGTTTCACTGACTAAGTCCATCGTGATATGTACTTAATAATTGGTTTTGTGTACACAAAATTTTCGTTGCAGTTTTTGGTCATTGAAGTCTGCAGCTATCTGCAAAAGTTGATTTCTTTCACTAAGGACATATCATTCATTTTATGTCTGATATTACTATCAAAACGGTTCTTCTAACTTCTAACCCACTAGTCGAAGGGATCTGCTACCATATTCTTTTGGATTTTAGAGCAAGGGAGCATTACTTGGAATTCATTTGTCATGATTAGTTAATTGTTATTAGAATCCGTTAGGAAATAACAGTGTTAGGAATTCTTTTAGATGATTTGCATCCCCAGTAATCTATAGATAAGGAACGGGGCAAATGTATGTGTGTATGTGATGAAATAATAACTGTGATTTGCGATTTCTCTGAACCAGGGTTTTTTTTTGGCCAATCTGTTGATTTAATCATGCAGTAAGGTGCTAGGGGAAGTCCTTCCATACATCTTTTTGAGTCTTTCGTGGATTTCCTTAGCTAATATGGCCTTTTATTCCGTTATTTGGCTGAATATTCTGATTGATTTTGGTTCTCATTTCCACACTAGTTGCTATGCTCAAGTCATATGTGGTTGTATCCATGGGAAGCAAACAGAAAATATAATTTTGAGGGGCCTTGTTAGTTTTTGTCGTTATATGTTCAGCTTAATACCTAGAAATCCTGAGCGTCAGAACTTGAGCAAGTCTACTTGTTCTTCACTA